TTTTGTTTCAGTCTGATGAACACCGATTCAGCCTTCAAAATGTCCCCTCCATTGGGATACCTTCTCTCGCTGAATTCATTCATTCCTCTAAGGCCTGCAGTGTCTTGTTCATACACTCTGGCAGCACTGATCATGCCCAGTGATAATCTCTGGGTATCGTGATTAACCACAGGTAGAGCTTCTCTCCTTCTGACAAGGTTGCGACCTTGTCAAGGTCAGGCTTGACTTTACTAATGTACACACTGGGCCATCAGCAAGTCTGTATACAATGGGATCTCTCTGTTGGCATCTGCTAGTTCACTGATTCAAGCCTGGTGCCCAGGGTGTGTTCTGAACCCCAGACATGCAGAAAAACATCTCCTTGTCATTTCAGCACGTTGCATGTGCTCAACAAATGCTGGTTGCGTGGATAAAGGGGTGAGCAGGTGAGTGGAAACTGGACTCCTCAGTGTGGCTGCGCATTATCAGTGCCCTGTGAAAGGTGCCTTCCCTCGGTGAAGGCTGACAGACTCAGGACCTGGCGGAACCCAGAGCCAGTCAGGCTGCAGGATATTGTCTTCTGGAGAGGAAGTGCTGGAAGACTCTGGAGGAAGGCCTTGGAATAATGCCTGCAGCCAGGAGGTGGTGAGACACGTGCTCCCACCCACTCTGCTCGCTGGCACCCCCAGAAAGGGACTCAGGGGCGGCCTTGCAGATGTGAGCCTGTAGCCTCCTGCTCTGGCAGAGCCGCCCAGATGGTCCCCAAGCTGCATCTTTAGAAGCCTGTTTCAGGAAAGCGGAACTAACAACTGGCCAAAGGTTCCTTTCGCCTCAGAGATCATGAGATTTCTAGAAAGACAGCCGAGTTCCCTGGCTGTGAACTTGCACGTGCCTGTGCTTTCTTTGTGCTGCAGCTCACGCAGCTGGTGTCAGGAATTCACATTCCCTGAGCTGCCCTTGGTAGCCAGCGTGATAATGCGGCTGCAGGAGCCTTCCACTTCCACCCGAGGTCCAAGTTCTGCACCCATAGGCTGCCTCTGTTCTTTGCTGCCCAGCTGCTCACTATTTTGGATCTCTTTTCTTTACCAGCCCTTCTTCATTGCAGACTAATTCTTTCTTTAATCAACCGCACGCACGAATGCACACTCCCAGCTTCTACCAGCCCAGGATGATCTGCTGAACCACTCAGTTGTAAAAAGAGAGGGCCCAAAGCGAAGCGACTTGACATTTTTATGAGCTAGTATTCTCCCTGGTGAGTAGACAGATGACTTCCACTGGGCTTTTGAAATTACTGAAAGATGCTGAAGAGCCTGAAAAACAAAGCCCTCGATCAATGAGAGCTGCGATTCTTCTTCTTACTATTATCATTTCTTGACCTTCTGGGAAGTTCTGAACACAGCTCAGAACCCGCCATCCACAGTGATAACAATTGCAGTGATGACACAGCTGAGGTTTCCAAAGCCGACTTTGAGCCAGGCTCTCTATTTCATATTCTTCACATGACGTCAGTGCCTTTTCACTGCAGCTCTATGAGAACGTGGTACTGTTTCCCCAATTCACAGACGAGAATCAAAGAAGGGAAGTCATTCGCCCAGTGCCTGTCAGGAACTGGGGCTGTAAGATTTAGCCTCCCCACTCGGTATCCACCGGGAAGCCATAGCCATAGTTCATCTGTGACTTTCTGTGGCTGGCCATCATCCACCCACATGTGTGGAAAGGAGGGGCTCTCCCTAGGGAAATCACGGGCATTGACTCCCGTATTGTGGGATGGCAGTGTGTCTGCCACTGGGTGAGCTCTTCCGGTCAGATTCTGAGTGTGGCAGAAGGCGTGTGGGAAGACCATCAAATAAACCCGTGAATTGGGCCCTGCTTCCCCTCTTCCCATCTCCCTCCCTGTAGATATTGGGTGGTTTCTTCAAGAACACGCAGGCCAAGTTTCACCCTTGTGAACATGCTCTGTGGCCCCGCCTACCCACTGGGTGGTGGCAGGTGACTGTGCTTGGCCCCAGTGTCAGAAGTCCAGGCGGATTTCAGTTCGGCTAGAGTCTCAAGTGGACTCAGAGTGGAGGCCAGGAGTGGTTGTCCCTCAGGCCCCTGACCTTCCTGAGCACTTGGTCCAGTGGTGGAAAAGACAGAGAGCCACAACAGGACTGGTGGGCACCCGTGAGCCTGTGTCGGCAACAACAGGGAACTTCTTTTACAACTATGGGGATGTTTTGTAAACTCCAAGAGCAGGAGCATAGCCAGTCTTAAGAAAGCTTGGAACATAGAACATAGAATGTCTTCACGACTCTCCTTTTGATCCCTAGTTTCCTTCCTCCTCGGCAGACCAGCTCCCTCTGGTGAGCACAAGATGGCTTCGGGAGTGGTCCCAGGGTGCCATGGGCCTCTTTCCAGACCAGACTCTCAGGGAAGGAGCTTGGATGGGTTAGCCTGGGTCAGCTGATGGTCCTGCTGCCAGATGATTGGATCGTTTTGAACAGATATGGTGGCTGGAGCCCAGAATGGTAGCTTGAGACAGTCAGGTGTGTCCTTTTGAAAGACTGGCGGTGTCCAGGGCCGCCACTGGAACTTTCCTCTCTCCTGCGGCTGCTCTCTGCATATGTCAAGGCTCCCTGGTCAACCACAGAGCCTGCTGTCTCTTGCCGCCTGCCGTTCCTGGTGCTGAAAGGCTGTCTTTGCCAGAGTCCAGAGTGCCCTCTGATGGTGCCATGCCCAGGCCAGGATCTAGACGGGCATCCAAGACAAGCCGCTGGGTCGGCTTTGGGAACAGGAAGCAGGGTGGCAGTAGACTTAGATTGTCCGAAGGCGTCTGGTTCTCCAAGCACTCTAGGCAGAGACAGTGGTGTTTGGTACTGGGGGTTGTGTGTGAAGGGCTGGAGAGTGAGTGCACAGCAGACCCCCGTGGGGACAGAGCCAAGGGAGGACGCCACGGGCGGGTGCCACACCGCATCGCTTGGCTCAGTGCCACAGCTGGGCGCCCACACAGCAGTGCTTCACGTGTCCCTGTTTGCTCTGAGGGTTCTGTAAGTTTATTCTGGGTTTTATTTAGTTGTTTGTTTGCTTGTTTATTTAGTGTGTAGAACATTATAGGGATCCAGAAAAGTACAAAGAAAACAGAAGTCCCTTAGATTTGAATCACTGTGACTATAATATCATGTTCTGGTGTTTTAGTTATTTCTTTTAATGAATAAATTGAGAGTGGGGGACAAACAGAATCATATGAAAGTAAACTTTTTTTTTAAAGATTTATTTATTCATACAGAACTGGGGTACAGGCCAGAGATGCAGAGGGTGAGAGGATTCACCAGAGGCAGAGTGGGGAGCAGAATAGGCAGATCTACGAAGTCCACTGCTGAGGGGAGCAGCGGGCGGGCCAGGAGAGGTCTGCTGCGCCATGTGGTCACCTCCGGGGCAGGCGGGGATCGAACTCATGCTGAAGTGGCTTCAGCTTCTCAGTGCTGTGCTTTAACCCACTGCGCCACCAGGGAGGGCCGAAAGTAAACTTTTTTGAAGTCTGCTTTTCTCGTGCCACCAAACTTGGGGCTCTCCCCCACATTCTTATCACGTGCTCTTTTACAACATTCCTGCACATTTGGAGGGACGGGGGAAGCGGCTGTGTTGGTTGGCTCCCGGGGACACTCGGGGACCTGCCACCCCTGTTTGACGTCATTTCCTGCTGGTAACATTATGGGACATCTTCCTCACGTAGCCCTCAGCCCACCCTACACTGCCGAGGGCGACCGCCCCCCCACCCGCATGTGACCAGCCCCGGGGCCAGTGCCACACTGCATGGGCACCCTGTGTTCGCGGCTGGGGCCCCGCAGGGCTTCCTGCACCCCCTCATCTCTGCCCAGGGCCCCCTTTGGCTGCCAGCTGCCCATTCACTGTCCCTGCTGTCCTCTGCTTTGTAGGCTCCCAGCCGGTTGCAGAGGGCGCCTCTCTGGAGCTGACCTCCCAGAACACCCTCAGGTAACATCAGCAACCAAAATAATAGCTGTTCGTGGAGCTCTTTCCACCCTGGTCAGGGAAAAGCATTCCTGCACCACTGCAGTTCCTCCTGACCACTGTTCTACAGCTTGGATTCTCCCTACTTTACAAATGGGGAAACTGAGCTAGAGCAATCGAAGTAGGGCCACTCCCCTGCTAAAGGGTGGCCCGGAGATTTGAACCAGGTCCATTCTCACGCTCCCTTTTACCCCTCATGTCTCTGGAACTCGAAAGGCAGTGGCACATCTCGGGGTGACCAAAGGTCAGAGAGGTCATCTAAAAACTGGACAGAGGACTAGGCCTGGGCTCCTGGCACATGAGTGTTTTTGAGGAATCGGTTAGACGTATAGGAAGGATCCAGGTTGTCTCCTAGAGATTCTGATGCAGCTCCTTGGGGGAGGGACCTGGGAACAGTGTCCTTAGGAAGTTCCCAGCCAGCCTGAGGAACTGCTGGTGAGATGGCAAAATCTCACCATGTGCCAGGCACCGGGTCCCCCAATGAATGAGCGAACAACAGCAATCTGGTGAGGACATACTAGCATCGTCCTCCAGAGACAGAGTGGAGCTCAGAGAAGTTGAGTTTACTCAAAGCCACACAGCTTGAGAGTGGTAAAGTGGGCTTCCCTCATCAGAACCTGTGTGTCCCCACCCCTGCCCCCAGAGATGCCCCTGTGCAACCACACATCAAGGCCCGCCCCTGCCTAACCCCTGCAGCCGTTACAGCCTCAGGGGGTGAAACATCTAACTGCATCCTGGGAAGCAAAGAGGAGGAGCACTTCCTACTTCCGCATGGAAGTTCGTTGTCCCGGTTTCTCCTTCGAGCAGGACATATGAGGAAGGGCACTTGGCCCAGGTGGGCAGCTGAAGCTAGTCATCCTCTCACCCGTCTCTGCAAACAAGACGCCTCCCTCTCTGGACAGCCTGCGGGGCCCCTGGTTGGTTTGTGGGCTCACTTTGTCTCTGTTCTTTTGGGGCCACTCCAGGCTCTTGCCGCCTGTCTGTGCCCGTCATGCCCTGCTCTGTCCTCCCAGGGTGACCCTGAGCCGCAAAGCTGCTGTCCACGTGGACGGGGGCCGACGTCACACGTCCACCTGCCAGGACTCCTGCGTCCAAACTCCGAGACATGGCGGCCAATGGCAGCAAGGTGGCTGACGGGCAGATCTCCACGGAGGTCAGCGAGGCCCCCGTGGCCAACGACAAGCCCAAAACCCTGGTGGTCAAGGTGCAGAAGAAGGCGGGAGACCTTCCTGACCGGGACACGTGGAAGGGCCGCTTCGACTTTCTCATGTCCTGTGTGGGCTACGCCATCGGCCTGGGCAACGTCTGGCGGTTCCCCTATCTCTGCGGGAAGAACGGCGGCGGTAGGTGCCTCCCAGCTCAGCCCGTTCCCCATGGAAAGTGTGCCACGGGGGGCTTTTCTGAGGCTACCTCAGGGAAAATGTTCCCTAAAGACTCCAGAGAGCCCCGCTTTCTCTTTTCTTATTATCAAAGGATTCCCACGGGTCAGCCATGACACTTGGGGGCTGGCCTCTTCATTTGGCAAAGGGCTGGCCTCTTCATTTGGCAAAGTGCTGGGGATATAGCTTGAGCCTTGCATGTGGGTACAGCTTTTGAGGTGTGACATAAGGACCCCAGAAGACCCTGCTCTGGTGCCCCCTCCGGACCTCCTCCAAAGCTCATGAGCCTCTTGCTCCTCAACCCCCAGGGGCCTTCCTGATCCCCTACTTCTTGACGCTCATCTTTGCGGGGGTCCCGCTCTTCCTGCTGGAGTGCTCCCTGGGCCAGTACACCTCCATCGGGGGCCTGGGGGTATGGAAGCTAGCCCCCATGTTCAAGGGTAAGTCCAGAGTGGGGCTGTGGGGGGTGGCGGTGCTCCTGCCCACAGAACCTCGGGAGTCTTCTCAAGGCCCTGCCCGTGGGGGAAGCGGCCTGCCCAGCACAGCCTGAGCTGATGCTGCCCTCCCCAGCAAGTGGCTTCCGGCCAAAATGAACATAGACACCTAGAACATAGGCGGTAGAGAGGAGGACCCACTCCGGAGGCTGCCCACCGTCACCCACCCCGTACGGTCTGCCTCTCTCCCCACAAGTGCTGGGAGTGACTTTGCTTCCCGCTCAGTACTTGACGCTCAGTGGGGCCGTGCCTGACACCCAGGTGAGTGGCAAGGCCAAGCCTCATGCTTGCCGCAGCCCCAGCCATGCCGGGCCCACACGGCACATCCTGGCCTCCTCCCTGGCCTCCCGTGTTGACCTTGACCAAGTCCCTGCCTCTCGCCAGCATCCAGCCAGGCGGCTGGTGGGAAACAGCGCGCGTGCCGGCAGGTCTGCTCACTGTCCCGAATGACTCCCTCTCCCCCCAGGTGTGGGCCTCGCCGCTGCTGTGCTGTCCTTCTGGCTCAACATCTACTACATCGTCATCATCTCCTGGGCCATCTACTACCTGTACAACTCCTTCACCACGGTGAGCGGCCCTGGACCCGCCCACTGTCTGCGCTCTGGGACCACAGTCTGCACATGTGGCTTGTCCTCCTCGCCCTTGTCTCCCCACAAGTCAGGCAGTTGGTACCTGGCTGGTCCCCTGTGAATGTGGCATTGTTCGCCCATTCCGGGTGGACCCAGAAGGCTGCGTCAAATCTTGACCCTACTGTACACCAGCTGTGCAACTTCAGGAAAGAGACTTAACCTCTCTGAGCCTCGGTGCCTTCCTTTGTGAAAGTAGAACCTCATAGGATTGTTTGAGGATCAAGGAGTAAAGGTCAAGTTTATGAAGAGTTTGGAAATGAGCCCGTAATGAACACTGCAGACATTTATTGTTAGCATGAGCACACACAGGGGAAGTGAGAGGTTTCTTGCCAGGGCTGCACGCCTGGGGCTTGGTCCCAGGATGAACGCACATGACCTATGGGCCAGCTTGGAAAGTGAAAAAATTGAGGTTCAGGTTTCAGCCATGCTGTGTGGCCTTGAGCAAGTAGCCGTGCCTGTCTGTTCTCTAACACGGGGCTCACACAGCCGGCCTTTCCCGAGCTGGTGGGGAGGGGAGACGAGAGGTGACGGAGAAGAGGGTGGTGGGCTGGGCAGGGAGCCCCCAGGGCGCTCCTGCAGCTTGCCTGTGCTTCTGTCCTGCAGACGCTGCCGTGGAAGCAGTGTGACAACCCCTGGAACACAGACCGCTGCTTCTCCAACTACAGCATCGCCAACACCACCAACATGACCAGCGCCGTGGTGGAGTTCTGGGAGTGAGTCGGGGCCCATCCGTGGGGGACAGGCCCCCTCAAAGGGGGATGGGAGAAGCAGGTGCAGGCTGTCTGTGGAGATGTGGGCTGGGCTGTAATCCAGGTCCCGAGACATGAACGATACGACCCTTGGTACCAAAACTGAGATGCAGACAGCAGACTCAAACACCTCCCGCACGCTGGTCTGGCCAAGCAAGCAGGCAGGTGGTGGCAAGCCCAGGTGACCAGTGCTCAGAGGAGGGACGCAGAGGAGGCTGGGGGGCCCCGGAGGCGTCTCAGGATAAACCAGTGCCGGTGAGCACAAGCCTGAGAAAGGCCAGGAAGCGGGAGGAGTAGATAGTGGGTGATGAGAGTTTGAGGGGCTGCAGTGTGGACAGAGAGGACAGAGAAGCAGCGGCCAGCTCTCCAAGGACTTGCAGAGGCAGACGCATTCTGACACCACAGAAGGCATCACTGCCTTCCTTTACACAGGAGACATGAGGAGACTGGCAGTTTAGAAGGATCCCGCGGCTGGAGTAGGGCAGAGAGTAGTGAAGGGGAGGGTCCAGGCAGGAGGCCGCTGCAGCCATCTGGGGGAGCAATGACAGTGGCTGAGATGAGGGTTTTGAGGCACTGACAGGGTTTTGAGCCAAGAGTGCTTTCACTGATTCATATAAGGGGCCCAGCAGACCCCAGCGGCTCTTGGATCTTAATGATCACTGATGTCCGTGGAGGATGTCACTTGTGTCTGTGCCTGGGCACCCTCAGGTCACTGCAGCCTCTGCTCACCTCTGACTGTCCCTCGTTGGTACCCAGGCGCAACATGCATCAGATGACAGATGGACTGGATAAGCCAGGTCAGATCCGCTGGCCCCTGGCCATCACCCTGGCCATTGCCTGGGTCCTCGTGTACTTCTGTATCTGGAAGGGCGTTGGCTGGACTGGAAAGGTAAGGAGGGAGCACAGAGGTGGGTTTTCCCCTGACCAGGGAGTCTGTACCCCACAAGAGTCCCACCCAGCCTTGCCTTCAGCAGTCCCTGGACTCTCTCTCAGCCTCTGTTTCCTTTCCTGGAAAATGAGAATAATGACATGACCTATCTCCTGGGCAATGGTGAGGGTTAAAGGAAACAGTGTAGGGCAGACCCTTAGCACAGTGCCAGGCTCCTGGTCAGGCCTTTCATTCCCCCAGGGCCAGTGCAGCGAGAGGGCAAATGTCCCTCAAGGGCTGAACAGGCTTCCCTGGAGCATCAGCTCCTAGCAAGTCTCATTCTGGGTGTTGGGTCCTGAGACGACCTCCCGGCTTTGAGGGAGTGACAGAGATGGCTCAGTGGGTGGTTCAGAGCTCAGGCATTGTATTGGGACGGTCCTGAATTCAGAACCCAGCTCAGCAACTTACTTGGCTGTGTGACCTTGTTCTAGTCACTCTGCCTCTCGGATTCTGTTTCTACCTCAGTAAAACGGGACTCATCTGCTGTTTTGTTTTATTTTTTTTTTATGAGGATCAAAATGAGATGGTGCTTTTGCAAAGAACTCAGTAGCTAACAAGGGGCCTTGTGATTGCTTTTGTCTTTATTATCGGCCAATGCAAACTGGGGTGTCCAGCCCGGGGTGTCTGGGGAGGTGGAAATCCAAACAAGGAGAAGATAACTGGCTTCACCCCCATCGCTGTCTCCCTTCAAACCCCACCTCAGGATTCTGGGGGCAGAAGATAATTGGGTCCCCTCGTCCTGGCCTGAAGGAAGCCCGGTGGGCAGACATGTGAGGTCTTACAGCAAGTTAGGGAGCCAAGGGATTCGAGCCAGGGGATTTGAGTCAGGCTGGAGGCAGGGTCGTGTGGGTCATCCGGGGAGATTCAGACTAGCTGAGAAGCTGATGTGAGGAGAAGAACCTTATGAATGCCACCCTGCGCACAGACACACTGGTGGAAGGCTGCCCTCTTTCAGTCACATGGCAGTTCGGGACTCAGTGGGTTCCCAGGTCCCACGCTGGTCAAAACATCTCTGCTCTGTTCCTCAGCAAGGCAGGCAAGAGGAGGTGGGAGCCGCCCAGCCACCTTTAAGAAGCAGAGAAGGTAGCCTAGGGACCTTGGAAGGGACACTGCTGAAGTTGAATCTCAGTTCTCTGGTTCCTAGTCATGTGTGCTGGGACCTCTGGACCTCAGGCTCCTCATCTGTTAAGTGGGTATAATAATAGTACCTTATGAGGGTGTCACACACGAGGGGGATAACCTATGAAGCACTGTGGCGTAGTGTTCAGCACGTCTCGGTGCTCAATCTCAGTACCCAGTTAATTTTTTGAGATGGTATCTAGAATTCCTTCCAGATGAGGAGACTGGCTACTTGGTGGATGAGAGTAGGGCCTGTTACTACATTGTTTGAGGGAATCAATAAGTCCAGCAATAAGCACCTACTGAACACCTACTGTGTACCTTTTATATTCTGAGCATGGAGGACACGTTGCAAAAAAGCGAGACCTAGACAGATGCATCAAGCACGTTGTATGTCCTCGTCCACCAGAATCTCTGAGTAGTAGGTTGATTATACCATTTCGTAGGTAAGAAAAAGCAAGAGGGTAAGAAATTGACCCCATGTTGCACAACCTGTAGGTAACAGAAATGGTTTTGAATTTTTGTTTTCTAATTTCAAGTACAGTGGGTTTTCTACCAGTTCTGGCTGCTTTTCTTAGCCCAGCAGAGTCTCACAATCAGGCCAGAGAAAGGAAATAACCCAGAGGACAATGCATGCTGATGAGGAGACTGTCACCTCAGACTCTGAGATAAAGAGAGCATTGAACGTGAAAATTGCTCTTTCACACGAGTGAGCAAAGAAATACAACTTCAAACAATGACATCAGTCTTTTGAGTGTTAAATTGGCAAAAAATAATTTTCTGAATTATGGCACTCAGTATTGGCACCTTGGTGAATAAAGCAAGCTGTGTGATGTTAGACCCAGTTCAGCTTCTGAAGGGATTGAGACGACATGGGGCCAAAGCCTTTGGGAGGTTTATTCCTTTTGACTCTACAATTCCTCTTCTAGCAATCTTCTCTGAGAGTTCTGCCACTGCAGTCGGTAAAGTTTTATAGTCAAGAGTACTCCGTAGTATCATTTAGAGTCACATGAAATTGAAAGTAACCCAAATGGAATGTTTTAGGAAAAACTTCAAAAAGGATAGTGGAATCTCTGCAGAGATTGTGTTGTTTCATTAAAAGTCATATTTTATGAGATAATAGAATAATGTGTAGTAAACAAAACAAGAAACTAAGTGATGTGTACTTTGTTTTTTAACTTTAAACATGAAATGAAAAGGCAGATACATAATTGGAACCTCATTTTGCATAGAAATGTGATCATATATGCAAAAAAGTCTCACAAGGGGAACATTAATACATTAATATTTCATGCATCGAAGTGCTTGCTAGGCATTTATTGAGTCTCTACTGTAAATCATGGACTCTTCTAGGCTCTTGGAAAAAAGAGAAATGAATCAAATGAGGCCTTTCCCTGTGTAACTTACATTCTAGGAGTCATTGAAGGGAACTTAGTGTGTGTTCGTATATAATTTAAAAATTGTCCTGGCACATGCGTTACTTGAATAATTTGAACGGAAGTTCTCAAAAATATAGAAGGGGAAGGGAAAAGGAAACACTAGGCACTAGGGCGGTTGGTTCAGACTTTAGAGCAGGTTAGGAACCTGGGGTGTTCCTTGGAGGAAGAGGAACAGGTCCTGAACAACACATCTAGTGGCAGATGAATTGGGGAAGGGTCAGCTTTGGGTCCACCAGGGCACACACTGACTGCGAGGCCCACTTTCTCCAGGTGGTCTACTTCTCAGCCACGTATCCCTACATCATGTTGATCATCCTGTTCTTCCGTGGAGTGACGCTGCCCGGCGCCCGGGAGGGCATCCTCTTCTACATCACGCCCAACTTCCGCAAGCTGTCTGACTCAGAGGTGAGTGGACCTCGGCTTGGATCCGGCCCACACTTGAGCCCTGAGCCACCGTTTAGCAGCTGTAGGAGAAATTACTGCTCCTCTTTGACCCTCAAATGTAACCTGAGGAGATTTCCCCATAGAGCAGGCCAGCGGATGAAAAAGGCCACGGAGTGCGGTGACTATGATTATAATTTTAACCGTTTTTTTATGATTCTGCCCGTAGGTGTGGCTGGACGCTGCTACCCAGATCTTCTTCTCCTATGGGCTGGGCCTGGGGTCCTTGATTGCTCTGGGGAGCTACAACTCTTTCCACAACAATGTGTACAGGTGCCAGAGCAACTGAGTGCCATTCCTGCAAGGCCACGCCCCTGCAAGGCCACGCCCCTGAAAGGCCACGCCCCTGAAAGGCCACGCCCCTGAAAGGCCACGCCCCTGAAAGGCCACGCCCCTGAAAGGCCACGCCCCTGGCCTTTCTCCACTCCTGACTGCGCCCAGCCCTTTTGGTGTTTGGGTTCTGCCCAGCCCAGGCCCCTGGGGTGGACACACTAACCCTTGCCCACTTATCCACCTTCCTGCCACCCCACCCGCCTTGACCTGGCCCCTCCTCCGCAGGGATTCCATCATTGTCTGCTGCATCAATTCCTGCACCAGCATGTTCGCAGGGTTTGTCATCTTCTCCATTGTGGGTTTCATGGCCCATGTCACCAAGAGGTCCATTGCTGATGTGGCAGCCTCAGGTCAGCTCCACCCCAGGAGGGGCCGGTGGGGGGCTGGTAGGGGGGTCAGGAGGGGCTCACTGAGCTGGCAGCTGTGGTCCTGGTGGTCGTCATCATGTGACTTGCCCACACGGGTTATTACTATGTGTCAGGCAGGCAGTAAACGTGCTACAGGGGATAGAGTCCCGAGTCCTCCCAGCACCCCAGTAGATGCTAGCCAGCCCATTTCACAGATGAGGAAACAGGCTCCCTTATGTCACCTGACCAGCACTCATAGCTGGCAGGGGTGCAAGTGGAGATGGCTGGTATAAGCTGGCACCATCCTAGGCCACTCTGCCCCCCTTGGAATGGAAACTCTGGTCCAACTCAGACTCGCTCCCTGACGCAAGGCTCTCAAGTCAGGGCTGTGTGCCAGTTCCAAAAGTGTTCTCACCGGGGGATTGTACCCTCTCTGCTCACCACACCCACATAAAGGCCACAGGCCCGAAGGAAATGCTGCACCCCTTCCCTTGAGCCAGGAGATAGGAGGGGGCCTCTGGCTGCATGACAGAGCAGGGGCTCCAGGTAGCAGCGTGACGTGTCCCCACCTATTATGGGAATTGGGCAGGTGGAGGGAAAGGAATACATTGTGCACTGGTCCTGACTGCTCCTACTAGGGCGGCCCCACTTCTCATTTCTCTGGAATTCCAGAGCACCCTCCTTTTCAGAGCCAGACCCCCAGGTGGTCCCTGACCTCTCAAATACCTTCCCACACAGGCACTCAAACACAGCCGTGTTCTCTTCAGGCCTCTCCTCTCCTGCACTCCTTGTTGTAGCAAAAAGTCCCCCCATCCAGTGCCCAGGCCAGAAGCCCAGAGTCACGCTGGCCCCTCCCCCTCCCCTGCCTTCACTTCAAACTAATACCTAAGCACTGCCTCCCAGGCACCTCCCCAGCTGGCTGACTCTGCCCCTGCACCATCCCCACCGCAGGCCAGGCCACCTCAGCCCCTCATCTCATCTTACGGGTGCCCCTGCCTCTGAACCCCAGCCTGCAGCTTCCCCCACACTCTGTTGCTCTGTCTGGAAATGGCAGCACTCACCTGAAAGGTTTCTCCAAAGATGAACTGCAATGAAACTTAGAAGTGGGTACTGTGCTGGGTTTGCTGAGTACTTAGTGCTCTGCTTAGAAGGTGCTTAGTGCCCATTGATGTTTTTCTTTCTCTTCTGCCCTTCCCTCCCCAGGCCCTGGACTGGCCTTCTTGGCATACCCAGAAGCTGTGACCCAGCTGCCCATCTCTCCCCTCTGGGCCATCCTCTTCTTCTCCATGCTTCTGATGCTGGGCATTGACAGCCAGGTGAGGACCCCCTGGCACCTTCAGGAGCCCCCCATTCAGGCTCAGCGGGCTGGGAGCAAGCAGGGAGAGGAGGTCACTGCCTGAGGCCCCAGGAGATGGCAGAGAGTTTCACCCCTTAAGGTGTTCTTCACATGACAGCTCATTGTCCCCATTTTCCAGATGGGGTGCCTGATGGCCGAAGGGGAAGGACTCCTGAGGTCACAGGGGGTGGCACAGGCAGAATCGGGCTCAAATCCTGGGGCTCCATTGGCCCTGCTGTACCATGGTCAGGCTTGGGGGTGCTGGGGTTGGGGGCGGCGGCAGGGGCTGACCTCCATCCCCCCGAAGTTCTGCACCGTGGAGGGCTTCATCACCGCCCTGGTGGACGAGTACCCCAGACTCCTCCGCAACCGCAGGGAGCTCTTCATCGCTGCCGTCTGCATCATCTCTTACCTGATTGGCCTGTCTAACATCACCCAGGTGAGCACAGTCGACCCCTGGTGTGGTCTGCCCCAGGCCCACTCCCAGGTCTTCCTCGCCGGACTTGCCCTAACCACCTTCATCACCCGTGGCGCTCCACACCCTGCACACACAGCGGCAAGCCCGAAGGGGCTGCCCTCCAGCAGTTCCCAAGTTGCTAGACACTGGCTAGAAGAGAGGACAGAGCTAGAGCGTGCAGCCCTGGTCCTACCTGGGCTATCAGGGGCTGCTCCTAGGAGGCGCTGCAGGGACCGAGGTGCAGAAGAGAGGCTGGCTGGACAGTCAAACCAGAGTGGGCATCTGACGCAGACACCACCCCACTTTTCTTTTTCTATCAACTTTAATGAGCAATACCCTCTGCCTGCAAGCCCCCCCCACCCCCGCATCGAGTCAGAAGACATACAGGGAAACGACACATTGTGCAGTGATTATAAATGACCCTGAAGCCAAGAGCGCAGCCCGCAGCCCAGAGGAGCTGATTTCAGATCTGCCAAACCACTCCCAGGTCCTTATACAGTTCAGACTCAGAATTTGGGTTCCTTCTCTCCCCGTCCCTGAACACCTGCTCTGCTTTGGGCCTGGCAACACTTCTAGAGCTTACATTTAGGTGGACAAGACTGACATACAAATTAAATCCTTAAATGTCATAAGAAAACAGGATAATGGTCACAGAGAGTGACCAGGGGGAATTTGAGGGAGATCACCTCAGAGCCGTGAGGGGCAGTCCTCTGAGAAAGTGATATTTGACCTGAGGCTCAGATGATGAAGAAGAGTCAGCCAGAGGAAGATCTAGCTGGGGAAACAATGACAGCAGGTGCAAAGGCCCTGGGGTCAGAATGGGCAGGGCGAGAGCTTACTGTATAGGTAGAGTGAGGGGCTGGTTGGTCAGTGGTGGGTATTGAACCAGATCATGCAGGACATGACAGGCCAAGTCGTTTGGATTTTATTTTGTTATTTTATTTATTTTACTCTACTCATCTGTGTACTGTGTTATGGTTTTGCTTAAGCGATGCCGGATTTTAAGCAGGGGAGACACATGACTGTTCAGCACTGTAGGAAGATGACTCTCTCCATCTATTGTGTGCTCTGCCCCCGCAGCGGCCCCCTCTGCCAGCTAGGCTCTCTCTCCCCAGCCCAGGAGTTGATGGCCACATCCATGGTCTCGTGGTGCTTCCGGTCACCTGCTCTCAAGTTCTCTTGCTGCGTTGAAACCCACCCCAACCTCAGACTCCAAGCCCACACCCCTGTGTACGGGGTGCCCCTGGGAAGGGGACCATCCTCACCTCATTTTCTCCTGCAGGGGGGCATTTATGTCTTCAAGCTGTTTGATTACTACTCTGCCAGTGGCATGAGCCTGCTGTTCCTCGTTTTCTTTGAATGTGTCTCCATTTCTTGGTTTTACGGTGAGCATCAAGCCCCTCCCTTTCTCTCCCTCATTCATTCATCCATTTTTCCTTGCCTCCCTCATCATGCATCAGATACAACCATCAACCCCCCCACTGATGAATTTCTTCCATCCTCAACAATTCAGTGACATCAAGGCAGGAGGCCTCTTGTTTAGAAGACCCCGTAAGAAGAGTCAAGTTAACTCACTTAAATGGGAGTTGAAATTTCTTGCTAAATATGGGGGTGAAAAAGCTTCTTTTTTCCTTGGGGAAGTAAAATCAACACTGCAGGGAAAAAAAAAACCACGAAGTTGCAGATAACAAGATGGGGCTGTAATTAAAAGTGGCGCGCTGCCTTCGAACAAGGAAGGGAACGGTCATTTGCTGATGTCGTTGCCTTGGTTTCTAGCCCCCACTGCGTGGTAGTTACCAAAAGTCCTCCCTGCGCATCACCACAGCCACCACTGCTTGAAGGGCATGTTCTCGGGGGCCCCCTTCGTCCAAGATAGTCACGCTGTCCTCTGCATCCCTTGCCATCCGCCCTTCTCGTCACTGTCCCTCCTGACTTCCTAACTGGCCTGACGCTGGCAGGGCCTCCCGGCCAGTGACTCTGCTTACGTGCCCAGCCTCACTCTCCTAAACTTGACAACACCTGCCCTTTTCTGCAGTTTGCAGTTCCGTGCAAGCGGTGGCCAGTTGCTTAGTGTCAGATCAGGGGGACAGTCCCCTGCTCGGCCAGACTTCAAAGGCCTGGCAAATAGAGGTGGAGGGGGGATGTTGAGAGTAACAGGGACATGTGTCATGAGTTTGGTGCGTAGATGTTTTCATGTTCAGGTGACTTGGTTTCCCACAAAAACCCACTTGTTTGGGGTTTTGGTTACCTAGAGACTGAGCGCCCGGGGCACAGGCCACACATTACAGACAAGCTGTGACTCAGGGAGGTGAGGTGACTGAGCGAGAAGGGCCAGTTGGGGCTCTGAACCTGCAGCGCCCCCCAATGCATCCATCCTGCCTGTTCTTACCCCCATATCACAGGTGTTAACCGATTCTATGACAACATCCAAGAGATGGTCGGCTCCCGGCCCTGCATCTGGTGGAAGCTCTGCTGGTCCTTCTTCACCCCGATCATCGTGGCGGTGAGTGAGGCTTGAGTGGCCCGGTTAGGGAGAGGCTAGACCAGGCCCCGGGCAGCTCAGGCCCAGAGAGAAGCTTCTGCAAGCAAAGGTGGGCAGGAGAGGCCCCATTGCCTGTGTCCTGCTGCTTCCCATTTCTGGGCATCCGCACCCTGTGTGGTACATTACTCAATCCTGAAAAATCTAAGCAAAATAGACAGTGGCCCCACAGAGGCCCTGAGATCACGCAGCCAGCAGCATCCACCCAAATCAGGTGGCCTGACGGTGAAGCCCAGATCATCTGGGCGTCGGGGGGGGGGGTGGCACTCCCTGCAGCCCTCATTCCCTTCTGCAGGAGGAAACAGACAGAGCAGACCCAGGCAGAGAGGCTGCCCCAAGTCCTTGTTAGGGCTGGGCCCTGGTATATGTCTCCTGAACAGTCAACCACTCCCAAGCTGGGGGCAGACATCCAACCTTGTTTTGCTTGCCAAGCAGGTTAACGTGGAGAACACGCCTTTTTCTCTTGGTCCTCCCAGAGAAACCACCTCTTATCAGTCCTTCCAGAGAGGATGCCTTTTACTAGTGTTCCGCCCAGTGAGAGCGCCTCCTTCAACCTGACAGTCTAGGAAGGTGCTCCTTTCTGCGAGTGCTCACAGGGAGGGCTCCTTTTGCTCCTGGTCCTCCCGGAAAGGTCCTTCCCCGCTGTGCCCAAAGGTGCCTCCTGGACCAGCAGTGGCCTTGGGTGCAGGATTCCCGAGATGCTGAGGGTCAGCCTCAGGGTGGGGGCGGAGAGCAGTGGACATCACGGTCTGAGGAAGGGTCCTGGCTGTCCAGTGTGGGCCTGACTGCCTCTCCTTCGCCTCTCCAGGGTGTGTTCATTTTCAGCGCAGTGCAGATGACTCCTCTCACCATGGGGAGCTATGTTTTCCCCAAATGGGGCCAGGGCGTGGGCTGGCTCATGGCTCTGTCTTCCATGGTCCTCATCCCCGGGTACATGGCCTACATGTTCCTCACCTTAAAGGGCTCCCTGAAGCAGGTAAGTCCCTTCACCTTGCGGCATGTGTCCCCCTCCCCTCGGGGAGCCTACGGTCTAGCAGGGAGACCGGCGAAGTCCATGCCAGTGACAGCAGAGTGTTATGCTGCATCGTGACAGGGGTGATGACAGTTAGGAAAGGCTTCCAGGAAGAGGAGGCAGCAACCGGGGGACTAAGGCTGACTAGAGTTACAAGTAGGAGAAGAACGACTGTCCCTGGAAGAGGATGGGAAGCATGTGCCGAGCCCAGGGGTATAACTGAGCATTGTGCCTGGAGAGCAGAGGGGGGGGAGGTGCAGGTGGGGTGGTAAGAAATGAGAGGGGTAGAGACTGAGAATGTGAGCGCTGTAGCCCAGAGGCCCTGCACCGGTGAGTCTCAGACCTTCTTTCCCACCAAGTGATACCTTGTAGTCTCACCAGAGCCAGAGGAAGGGGGCTGCATAAAGAAAACAGAGTGGGATGAAGAGGTTGGGTTTGTGTGCTCCGGGCTGGTCTCATTTCACTGATGGGGAAACTGAGGCCAAGCAGGAAAACCCCTGGCCCATCCCTTGCAGTAAATTACTAGCAGAGTTGGGGCTCTCAGGCCCTGCTTCCATCTCCAGGTTATTCTCATTTCTCATGAGCTGCTGCCGAGCGGGTCAGACCTTAGAGAGGCAGAGGGGCGTGCTGGAGCGGAGACCACAGCTCGTGCAAAGGCCCTGTGGCAGGAAAGGGCAGGGTGTGTCTGGTGGGGCAGGGTTGAGGGATGTGCGCAGAGAAGGCAGTGGCAATTACATCCATTCAGTAAATGTGTGTTGGACACCTGCTGTGTGCTAGACACTGATGTCTGTGCTGGGGCACGAAACAGGCAAAAGTCCCACCCTCGTGGAGCTTCCATTCTAGTGGTAGAAGATAACAAGTAACTAGGAAAGTCTGCCAGTGAGGGTGAGTTCTCGGGACAAAAATTAGGTGGGAGGGAGGTTTAGGGAGCATTGAGAGGGTCCCCCTGAGGAGCTAACACCAAAACAAGACCACCTACCTGCCTCGCCTGCATGAGGTGCCGTGGGGAAACCAGTGTGACCGGGGGCGGGAGGGGGCGTGACAGGGTGAGGGGGGACCCCAAGTTGAGGTGTCAGAGCTGGAACAGCTTGGGCTGTGGGACGTTGCTCAAATGTGAGCTGAGGGACGTTATCGCACTAGGCTTTAGATAATCCGCTGGCTGCGTTGGGAAGAGAGAGAAGTGAGAGAGGTGGAGGGGGCGGGGCTGGTCTGCAGTAGCCCAAGTGAGAGGAGCCGTGGCTTGGGCCAGGGAGGGGCACAGGCTCTGGAGCTGGGGAGCCTGGTTGGCATGTGGCAGCAGTTTGAAGTCAAGGCAGACAGGAGAGACTTGAGGGGGGCGGTGCAGGGGCCACTCTCACCCCAGCTCCCATTCTCCTGGTGCCCACAGCGCATCCAGGTCATGATCCAGCCCAGCGAAGACATCGTGCGCCCCGAGAATGGTCCGGAGCAGCCCCAGGCCAGTGGCTCAGCCAGCAAAGAGGCCTACATCTAGGGGTGTGGGGCGGCCCGCCGAGCCGGCACTCTCACCCCCCACCTGGCTGCAGTGACCACCACTTGATGTCTGAAGATACCGTCTGTCTCAACCTACCTCGAGTGGCGAGTCCAGACACCATCACCACGCAGAGAGGGGAGGTGGGGGACAGTCACACCCCGGTGGGCCCCGCCACAGACAGGGATGCACCCTCGGGCTGGTGACCTTTTCAATTCAGGCCCCGTAGGCATCAAGCAATCGGCCTTTGTGACTGCCAAGTAGATCATTTTATCCCGCCAGTGAGCGTGACTCGGCGAGGCCGCACGCTCCGGCTTTTAGTCGTGTTCCCGACTGTTCTTTTACTGCCGAAACCCATGACTGTTACCTTGGACTTTGCAGGAGTTTAGTTCTGATGGAACCTACTCTGTGCACATGGAAAGGGCGTTTTGTATAACGGGATTCCCGGGGGGAGCTTTCTCTCCAGCAGCAAGGGGCCAGCCGAAGCTTAGCCGGATTTTCTTTTCGTGGTTTTCTCCTTCCCGAGGCAGCTTGACAAAACCACGCCCCAGGACCTCAGTCGGCCCCCCAGGGCTGCTGCCCCAGCCCTCTGCACCCCACTGGGCTGCGTGTGCAGCTCTGGCCCGGCTGCCCCCGCCTTGCCAGGCTGTTATGGGGTCCCTGGCCTAGTCGCCACCCTTTCAGCAGCGCCCCGCCACCAGGAAGCTGCCATGAGCACAATCGAGCTTTCAGATGGCCGTTCTGGGGGCCTGGGGGTCCATGGGGATATTCCCTCAACAGGAGCCCGTTTCTCACAGGCTGTCCAGTTCTGTTGGTGTCAGGTATCCTTCGGGCTCCCTCTTCTCCCTCACTGCCGCCCCTGGTCAAAGCTGCCACTTCTCACCTTCTCGAAATTCCGCAGCTGGCAGCTGCTCGCTCACTGCCACTGGAGTCTACCCAGCCTACTAACTGAGGAGCGAGCATGAACCCCCCAAATGCTGCTGAGATGAAACCCCTTCCGCGGGAAGCACTGTCTCTTCCTTTCTGGAATCGGGCTCTGCGGTGTCGGGAGCAAATAGGGTGAAGGCCGTTCCTTGCAAGCTGCAGGAACTCAGTGTTCTCATTCGCCGGGAAGATGGGTTCCCATGTAGCAAACCCTATGTTTTCCCCTGTAGCTCCTTAGCTAGTTAGCTCACAAGCTGTGTTTTATGACTAATCCTTAATAACGATGGTGAATAACTGTGACTGTTTTTTAATCTCTTGTCATTCTCATCTGAAAGTGACCAGCACACACCAGTTCTTGCAATAAGGTATCACCCTCAGAATATTAAGCACATTATCGTAGAGGATAAATCCCACAAAGTACGTGTACCCATGTAGCTGCACACACCTGTATTTTCATCCTCACACGTGGTAGACATGTCTCCTCTGCTATTGTGTAGGAAACCTAAGGCGTCATCTGTGGTCATCTGTAAAATAGTCTCATTGCTAAAGCATCCCCAGTGCCAGCTGGTAAATCCATGATCACACAGCGTATGTATTGTTCAATTCTAGCGTTTAGAATGAAAAGAACCCTATCTCACGGCCCCACCCCCATCCTGTGTGAATTCCTCTAGCATAAGGGCAGGAAGACTTATAACTTTTCTCTTTGTTCTTCAATGTGAAACTAAGACCGAGTCTCTCTCAGACAAATGCAGTGTATTTGATGTTTGTAAGCGAATCTAAGTGAGATGTTTGGCAAGAAATCCCTTAACTGATTTCCATCCAAACCTACTTATATAGCACAATATGATGTGATGTACAATTACTGTGAGAACTGTGAATATGTGTAACTTTTTTTAGTATTTGCCCTGGGGGAAGGGAAAGATACTGTATTATCATATATGCTTTTTTTTTTTTTTGCAATAAGGGTTTATTCTCAGAACACCAAGTAAATCTATCTCTATATTAAAAGATATATGTAATATATACATATTCAAACTATATACAGAGCCTGTTTTAAAAGAAAATACAGTATTATTTAGTAAAACTATCTGTTCTATGGACCAAATGTAAAATATTTATAAATGAAGATGCATTTTAAATGTCTATAAATGGTGTCATGGCTAAAGCACGGGCGTTATGTATGTTTCTAAGAATCTAGAGGAAAAATAATAAAGGTTCTATGAGTTCCAGTGGCAAGCTCTCCTTTTTTGGGGTGGGGACACAATGGCCCTTTTCATCCATACAACACACACGCAACTGCTTCTCCCCACCCCCCACCCCCACCCCGGAAGAGAGGGATACTCAGTCTCAAAATCCAGTGAGAGGGAGCTGGACCCTGCAAAAAATTTGGCTGAGTGACTAGGAAATGACTGAGTGCCCAGTGCGGTGTGGGACTTTCAGCAAGCTGGGCGGCTTTGATGTGGTCAACATGAGGAGTTAACCCTTGACAGGCATTCGGTACCGGGCCCTGGAGGAGGTCTAACAGGAAGGAAACACCAGAGCATCACGTCACGGTGGACAGGCTCAAAACAGCATCGAAAGCATATTTGAGTGAAAGTCCCAAGCCACCAGTAGAAACTGCATGACCAAAGCCACCGTAGACCCAAAGCCCGACACCGCTGGACGAACCCCGTGTGACAGCCACTGAACGGGAGGCCTCCTTCGGGACCCCCCTGCAGGGGCGACCCTGCCTCTTCATCTGTCCTCACATAAATCTCAGCCTGCTGGCTGCTGGCAGGAGCTGGCCTATTTCTCTAACAAAGCTCTTGCTCTGCTCCCACCGTGGAGCAGCTGGGCTTCATTCTCTGTTCCTCTGGCCACTGTTCCCGGTTCGCCGTCGTGTGTCAAACTGAATCTACACCGAAAACCTAGGCAGTGGGAGAGCACGTTGGGTTAATGGTGACATTTATTCATTGGGTCACTCCTCAAAATACTTACTTTTAAACCTTTAGAAAACATTGGAGAGGTAGAAAGGGCCACCTCTGGCGCTCACCCACATTCACGCCTTGTGCCGCTGTTGGGTCGGGCAGCACCACGCTGATAAAAAAACGAGAGTCACGGGACAGGCTACATAATGAGGATGCTGCTCAAGAGCAAGGTCCCGGCCTTTTTATTGGCAAACTAGTGATGCAGCATTAGTCACATGGGGAAGCAGAAAGGAGACGGGGAAGTAGAAAGCAGGGGAAGGATGGAACTGTACTTCTCATCTGCTGGTGGCTATGTATCATAGATCAAACTCTGACTCGCCAGTCAGGATTTCAATCTCAACTTCTGGGGTCCTCTGTTACACATCAGTCAGTGGCCCCCCAGACGTTCCCGGTCACACCTTGTGATGTATAAGTCAAGAGTAAGTTATGCATCTGTCATGAGCCCCTGGTCATACCTCTGGTGATATGTACCCTTCCCAGCTCTATGCTCCTAATTGATGTCAAAGGCACTTTGTAGGATTGAGCGCTTATGACTGGGCCGTTCTGACCTTGCTTTAGGGGTACAGAAATGTAGGTAATAAAATGGAGGCTGGATTGGCCACTTAGGATTAGTAGACCCACATGCTACCCATAACTGTGTTTGGTTGAGGTTCAGCATGGGAAGCAGAACCCTGACGGAGTGAGGGGTGGGTTACAGGAACAGGACCTTCCAGCAGGACCCAGAGGCGGACATCAGGAAGGCTGCCTTCATCTGGTCCAGGCCCTCAGTCCTCAACAGACACTGCCACAGATAACCTGGCTGTCTCCCTGCCTCCGGTGTGGCCCCCATCATCCATTCTGCCAAAAGTGAGCCCTTGAAAAAGTAAGTCAGATCATGTCGTCTGGTTTCTCTGATTTCTATTCTCCAGTGATTTCTGCCACAGATGTCCCACCTGACCTTCGATGTTCTCCATAATGTAACTGTGGTTTATCTTTCTGCCTTCGTGCATTCTGCCCATCTGCGCTCATAGCACTGGCCATTTCTCTGTCCCTGGAGTCCTCCAACTTTGCTCCTGCCACAGAACCTCTGCGCTCACAGTTCTCTATGCTCTGAACTTTACTCAAGGAGTTGCAAGTCACCAAGGAGGCACCTGATTCAGCCTGGAAGGACAGGGAGGATTTGCTGGGTACAGGGCCATGTGAGCTGGACCCAAAAGCTAACTCAGCCATGGCACTCTGGTCAAACATGCTCCCAAGTCTGCCTGGAGGCAAAGGCTGAGGAAGACCTGTTGAGTGGGATGGAGAAGCAGAGCTCCAAGGGCCTGGAACACAGGCAGGGCCAGAGAGGTAAGAGGCAGTTCTGTGTTAGGGACACCAAGGTCGTGTTTGTCTCTGGTCTGCTCTTCCCTCAAGTACCCTTAACGTTAGACGTCCCCTTCATCCAGGTCTCTGTTCCAATGTCACCTCCTCACAGAGGTCTTCTCTGACTACCCTCATTAAAATAACACCCTCCCTACCGCTCCCTATCCCCTAGCTGCTTTATTTTTTTCCCCAGTGCTCAACACCCAACAGGAGCTCGACAGCTACATGAATGAATGAATCTGCGTGAATGGGCAGGGAAGGGCAGGGAGGCATAGGCATAGGACCAGATGCCCACCAGGTAAGTGCTAGCTCTCCATTCACCCTTCATGCACTCTGAACATATTCCTTAAATCTCTTGTGCCTCCGTTTCTTCATGAAGTTGTTGCTAAAGTGAAGGGCGTTATAATAAGACAATGTACACAGTACCATGGCATACTCTCAGTGAGCTCTCAAAAAATAGTGAGTGTTCTTAGACTCCGGTCCTCTAGATGTTCCTGAAAAAGGTCTCTTTAATCAGGGTGCACCCCACACCCAGAGTCCCACGTTTTGAAGGATTTTGAAGGATTTTGTCTACCAAACTGTTGCTTAATAATTAAGTCCCCTTTTAGTCATCAGATAAGGCTGCTAATTAGGGCTCCCGATTAGCATGAAGTAACCAGGGTGACAGCATCGAGCTGGTAACATTCCAGACAAAAGCAAAGGCAATGTGGCATTTTGGGACTCAGCTCACTTGGACAGCGGGTAATTATGTGATTTCCTCTGGGTTCTCGCTATGGTGGGAAAGGGGGTTCAGCATGCCTGTAACCCACACATGTGCAAGGGCCCCAGGTAGGGTCTGTACCTCCATCAGCTCCCAAAATGCTCAGCTGCAGACTTTGGTTTTCTCCTTTTTAAAATCGAAGGCAGACAGACTGCTTTGAGTAACACACTCCCAGGTGGGGCAACCACAACCTCCATCAAGATAATAGAAAAGATTACAGAACTGGCTCACAGTCTTTGGAGGCTCAAACGTATACAATCTCTTTATCTTCAGATAAAGGTGGAGCTATGGAACTGCCAGCCTGTTGTTCAGGCCTGTGTATTTTGAAGGCCACTTATTTCTTGTACTAAATCAACCTCCAGAAAAGTCATACCTGACTTCTGACAAATAAACTAAGAAAAAAAAAAGGCGGGGGGAGTCACCCAGAGTCTGGGTAACAACCAGAACCAGGAGACTGTTGAAGGTCAGGTCCCAGGCACCTCCAGCATCTAGCCACTCTGCCACGTGGGGCAAGCACAGACCGGCCCACAACCAAGAGAACCACAGCAGCAAGCCCGCAGCACTGACATTTGGCCAATCGCTGGACAAAGCTCCCACCAATCCACCAATCGCGGTGTCATTGACTGAAACCCTCATTTGCATAAAGAGACCAGCCCCACCCTTCTTCCTCTATCATTACTGGACCTCCAGGGCGTTTTCTTTCTTTTTTTAAAAAAGATTTATTTATTTATTGTTCAACATCACTCGTAATAAGGGAGATGCAAATTAAAACCACAATGAGATACCACCTCACCCCAGTGAGAATGGCACATCTTCAAACTAGCAACAACAAATGTTGGCGAGGATGTGGAGAAAAAGGAACTCTCCTGCACTGCTGGTGGGATGCAAACTAGTACAACCACTATGGAAAACTGTTTGGAGTTTCCTCAAACTGCTAAACATGGAGCTTCCCTACGACCCAGCAATCCCACTCCTAGGATCTACCCAAAAGACACAAAAACACTGATTGAAAAAGACACCTGCACCCCCATGTTTATTGCTGCTTTATTTACAATTGGAAAAACATGGAAGCAGCCCAAATGCCCAAAAGTAGATGACTGGATTAGAAAGATGTGGTACATATATACAATGGAATATTACTCAGCAACCAAAAAAGAGAAACACATGTCTTTTGCAGCAACTTGGATGGAGCTGGAAAAGATCATGCTGAGTGAGATAAGCCAGAAAGAGAAAGAAAAATACCAGATGGTTTCACTCATAGCAGGAGTATAATGGACCAGGCGAGAAAATAACAAAAATAATGAACAACCATATACCAGAGACATTTTGTGGGGGTGGAGTGGGGAATGGGATCAAAAATGGGGGGGGGGAAGGGAGGGAAATGCACGGGACTATGGTGGTGGCACATGGGTGATTTGGTGATGGGAAACCCGCGGGGATTACAATCGAGATGGAAAAAAAAATGTGCAAAATGATGTAAAAATAAACTTTTGTAATAAAAAAAAAAGATTTATTTATTTATGCATACAGAACTGGGGTATAGGACAGAGGTGTAGAGGCAGTGAGAGGATTTACCAGAGACAGAGTGGGGAGCAGAACAGGCAGATAGATGAAGTACACTACTGAGGGGAGCAGCGGGCGGGTCAGGGGAGGTCTGTAGTGCCATGTGGGTCACCTCCGGGCTGGGTACCAAACTCACACTGTGGCGACTGCTACTAGCTTGCAGTGCTTCACTTTAGCCCATTGCACCAGTAGGGAGGGCCCCACAATTACTTTTTTTTTTTTATAACAGTTTATTTTTACATCATTTTGTACATTTTTTTTTTCATCTCAATTGTAATCCCCGCAAGTTTCCCATCACCGAGTCACCCGTGTGCCATCACCATAGTCCCGTGCACTTCCCTCCACACCCCCACCCCCGTTTTTTATTCCATTCCCCACTCCACTCCCACAAAATGTCTCTGGTATATGGCTGTTCATTATTCTTATTATTTTCTCGCTTCCTCCAGGGCATTTTCTTGGGTGTTCAGGCCCTCAGCTTGTTCAGTCTGTCTCGTGGGCTACCTATCTGAATTGGGCATCACCTGGTGGGTTCTGGGAGTGGTGACTGTTATTTTAAAAAATCATTTAAAGATATCTTAGTGTCTGAGCTTGT